GCATTTCCTGGAAAGCAAAATGCCAAAGACCAAACCAAGCAGCACGTGTCAGAATCACATCATAATGGGCAGCGTGGCAATCTCTCTCTCTTTATCTATCTACCTATCTATCTATCTATCTATCTATCTATCAATATCTATCTATCTATCTCTATCTATCTATCCCCCTCCCTCCCTACCGACCCCTCCTCCGTCCCTCCCCTTGGGATTGAACGGACACAGAAGATTAACATGGCCCTTGCACGGGTGACAATATCATTCTCCTTACGCTCTTCCTCACTCCTACCGCACCCTCCTCCGTCTCTCCCCTCTCCCCCCTTCCTCTTCACGCTCTTCTTCTTCCTCACAGTCTTCCAATCAATGTTCTCTTCCTCTTCCTCATGCGCTTCGTCCGCAGATGACTCGTATGACTCGAGAAATTTAGCATGCCTCTCCGCGGATAACACATGCGAACCGAGAAACCCAATGGTGCAGTTGGGAGTTGGAAAACAGAGGCAGGCCACTTCGAATCTGCTATTCCTCCTCTTCTTCCTCAGTTTTCCAATCCAAGTGCTCTTCCTCTTTGTGATGCTCTCTTCGTCCTCATTCTCTTCCCGCTCTTCCTCATCCTAATGCTCTCCCGCTCTTCCTGCTCCTCATGCTCTTCCTCCTCACTCTCTTCCTGCTATTCCTCACGCTCCTCGTCCTCATCAAGCTCTTCTTCCTCGTCATGCTCTTCTCTCTCTCTCTCTCTCTCTCTCTCTCTCTCTCTCTCTCTCTCTCTCTCTCTCTATCTATCTATCTATCTATCTCTATCTATCTATCTATCTCTATCTCTATCTATCTATCTGTGTATATACATATATCCCTCCCTCCCCCTTCGCTTGACCTCTTCCTCCTCCCTCCATACACCACCCATTTTATGCATTCACTCCTTTCTGCACTGCCTCATCCCTATTTCTCCCTGCCCCCTTTCCCGTTCCTCCCGGCCTCCTGACCTTCCTCCGCCTGGCAACCTCCCTCCGCTTCCTTCGCCTCCTTAGCCCATCTTCTCCCTCCCCTTCCTCCGCCCGATTCGCATTTACTTCCCTCCTTCCCCCCGTCCCTTCCTCAGCCCCATGTCCACCTGACCTCCTCCCTCCATTCCTCCCTCAAACCGGCCCCCTTTTTGTCGTAACGCCCAACCTAAGAAATGCATATCATTTTCTTTCTTTTTTCGGTGAGGGTTGCACGCGCGCAAAAGACAAAAGAGAGAGAGGGAGAAGGAGACGTTTGACCTCACACTCTTCCTCCTCCACATCCTCCTCTGGCTCTTCCGCCGTCCGCGCACCTTCTTCTTCGTCGGTCTCTTCCAGTGTTCCACCACCCAACGAACGTCTCCCGCCTCCTCAAGCTCTTCCTCTTTAACATCCTCCCTTGCTCTTCGACGGCGAGCTTACGATTAATCATCTAACGGACCCGCGGCAGGTATTTCAAGCGATCGATAATTATTTCCATATTTCACGCTCTTTCCCCCTAATCCCTACACCCGCCACACTGAGTCTCTCTCTCTCTCTCTCTCTCTCTCTCTCTCTCTCTCTCTCTCTCTCTCTCTCTCTCTCTCTCTCTCTCTCTATCTCTCTATCTATCTATCTATCTATATATCTACCTATCTGTCTCTGTGTGTGTCTCGCGCGCGCGCGCGCGCACCTTATTCACATCGAAAACGAAATGTGGCCACGAAGAAATTTGGGAACAATAAGACAAAAGGAAATGCACTCTCTAGATCGGGCACAAAGAAGGCGGCAAGGAGGGAAGACCGAGGGTTAAGATAAAGCCACCGGAGGAAGGAGGGAGGGAGCGAGGACAGAAGGGATAAGGTAAAGCTACCGGAGTAAAGAGGGCCGAGGGGGCAGGAAAGGGTGAGGGAGGAAGGCGCGAGGGTCGAAGCAGCAATGGAGGAGAATGGGCCACGGGAAGAGGGATGGTTATTGTGCCTTAGGTCTCTCTCTCTCTCTCTCTCTCTCACACACACACACACACACACACACACACAAATTGCGTATCACAACGGAGGCAATCCTAAACCCTTGAAAAAAGGGAAAAAACATTGACGCGCGGTAGACGCTAACGGAGACAAGGAACCAAAACAATTCTCTCGGGACAAAGTTGCCTCTACTCCGGATATCGTGGCTGCCATCTCGGGCACAGAGAGAGGCGAAAAGGAGAAATGAATGCAAGGTAGAACATTAAAAAAAGGGCAGCCCTTGCATCTCTCTCTCTCTCTCTCTCTCTCTCTCTCTCTCTCTCTCTCTCTCTCTCTCTCTCTTACACACACACACACACACACACACACGCACAAACAAAAAGCAACTCGACGGTCGACAACGGGAGAGGAGCTCTCTCTCTCTCTCTTACACACACACACACACACACACGCACAAACAAAAAGCAGCTCGACGGTCGACAACGGGAGAGGAGAAAAACAGAAATAGTTCACTGGTCTTTCAGTATCGCATGGGTTGTCGGACGGGAGCTACCGATGACCGGGAAGGTCTTGGGTGCTGGGCGTAGGTTGGACGTGAGGAAGAGAGAGAGAGAGAGCGACTCACTTGAGTCAGTCATGTCGACGAAGCCTCCAACGAACAACGCGCGAGCTTTCGGCCCAGCGTCAATGTTTATTAAAGCAGAGAAAGCCTCGAGCTCAGTAGCTCACCAATCGCCGTCGAAGTTCGCGTCAGCGAAGCGCTAAGCACCAAGCTCAGGGCGCAGGTAAGGAGAGAGAAGGAGAGAGGAGAAAGAAGAGCGAGGGAGAGGGCCATCAATTCACGGTTGCACCGAGTTCTCAGAGCACCTAGTAGCACGAAGCACGACGTTCACGTAACACGTAGCAGAGAGGAGAGAGAGAGAGACAGACAGGAGAGGAGAGAGCGAGAGAAAGAAGAGATAGCAGCCGCACGTAGCATGCAGCTCCAAGCACATTGCACCATTCGTGGAAACAATTCAGGTAGCACATCGAGTAGAGTAGCGCCAATTCGTGGAAGCAATTCACGTAACACATCGAGCGTAGCAACAATTCACGTAGCACCCGTTCACGGGGCATGAAGCACGTAGCTCAGAGCACCAAAAGCACGAAGCGCTAATCCACGTTGGACTGGGCGGGGGGGTAGGGACCGAGAGAGACAGACAGACAGATCGCATGTGGCACGCTGCGCAAACTCGTTAGCACCTACCACTTAGGGCGTACTCACGCAGGGGTGGCAATCTAGATGTAGCAAAATCTGCTGAATTTACTTTCCCATGTTTGCTGAAATCATACCCCGCCCGGTCACACATGTGTTGCAAATCACGCATAAAACGAGAAATGGTCCAAATCAGAAAGGACACGAGCGGGGCTCTCTGGCAACAGCAAAAGTGGTGCCTCGCATGGTCATAAAACGCGGAAATTTTGTTTTACGAATTCCCAAAGGGAAAATTTTCGAAATGCCCCTGAAGTTTGCGTTTATTTGCGGCGTGCCCCTCTGACGGCAGACTTACCTTGTCGCGCCCCTCTGACGGCAGACTTACCTTGTCGCGCCCCTCTGACGACGAATGATGTTTCCAGAAAACCCCTGGCGTCTTTTGGGCCTGAACAATGTTTCATATGCCCCTACCGGATGGCCATTGAGAACCAGCACAAACGTTTCCCATGTGCCCTTATTGGTACCGTCCATCTTTCCAGCGAGCCCCTGTGGCCGTTGTTGACACTCTGTCTTTCCCCTGGCCCAGGGAGAGATGCTACCCGGGTATATCAGAAATTTGGCGTTGAGCATGGACACACACACACACACTCACACAGGCACACACAACACACACACACACACACACACACACACACACACACGGGCGCGCACACACACACACACACACACACACACATATACATACCTTTTTTCCGTGTGGAATGCCTACCACATTGAATTCGAATTCCTGCCACCACTGCTGCAAGGGCATCACAGAAAGATGTGTGCCACTCGTGACGGCATTTCAAGGACCTACCGACGAAAAGACACCAGCGGTCCAGTAAGGGCATATCGGAAAGTTACGCCCCATGCTGACAGGGGCCTGTGGAAAATTTCATAGGCCTGAGGGGCACCACAGGATAAGTTGGCCTTTACAG